TACTAATAATAATAATAATAATAATAAATAACTAAATAAATAATAGTAGTGGTAATAATAGCGATGGCGACTATAAGTGGACACTCTCACACTGATGTGTGTGAATTCGGATTAAGTTGAGCTAAGCTATAGCAAGGAAAACGGCCATTACACTAATCCTTTCAAAGGAAATAGAGACCGGCCGCCTGGCCGTTGGCTAGCGCTTAATAACTAACTAATCGGCTAATGATCCGTAGCTATGGAATAATCGGCTATGAACGACAAGCAACTGTATAGACTTGAGAAAAGAACAAAGAACTCTGGCTCTGATCAAAGAGAAGAAGGAAATCTTCCAAAAGGGAAGTATCTCGGTTCGCGTAGGGATGGATTTGCTCTATACGAAGATTTACTTTGCTACCGCTGCTAATGGCTTTCCTTTCAATCCGGTTTGCAACGCACGGAGGTGAAGTAAAAAGCTTTGGTAGGAGGTATATATTCGGCTGAAGTTTATAATATAGTATAAGCTTATTTATTTGAGTGCACTTCGGGTTGGTAGGGGTATTTTGCCGATTCTTATCGACCAGTGCCGGTACCCCATGCAAATAGCTGTATATTCTTGTAAATTAGCACGAGCTTACTTTTGACAAGAGTCTACAGGGCTCATCAAGGTGAGAATTCTAGTTTACACAAGGCTCAGCAAAAACACTAGCGAAAGTGCAAAGTGCCTCCCCCAAGCCGAACAGCGCCCTTATGTGATCTTATAATTTTTATATGTGAATGCCAATGTAGTTGCAGCCTTGACCGCTTTCGAAGAGTTCTCCAAAGAATCAAAAGTCTCGGTGATTATAAAAAATATTTTTATTACTCTCTACAGATAGGCAACGGTACAGTTTACCGAACTGCTTATAAAGCGACCTTGCGCAGATTTCAGTCAGCCTATAACTAAGGATGCTAGGATTTAGCACCGGCGCGGCGCAAAGTAAGATGTCAGCTCGATGTTAACTTGGGCTTCGGTCTCCGATGAGATGATCAGAAATATTGGCGCAGTTCGCTCAAGAGAGGCACGTTCACTAGTTTCTTTTACTAGTTTATGTCCAACATCGCGTCTCACCTTGGTTAGAATCAAAAGATTAAGAAGAGATGTGTTTTGCACAGGCCGTATCTCCATACGCAAGTATGTATAAGGGCGTGGCGACGTATTTCTATCGAACGCAGCATAAGACACGTTGAGAATATTTCCTTATTGTTTTGAATAACTGCGCAGCTTGCCTTGTGTGGACAAGGACATAATTACATACTGTCCCAGGGTAAAGTATGCCGCTAAATATAGCGCGACAATTAAAAGCACGTAGCCACGCCCTTCACTCTACGAAGATAAGGTGTTATTGCGGTCGCCCTGAATGAAAACTGACGATGTGCCCCCACAAATCGTCAAGGTATCTGCGAAGATCTGAAGACCCTCCCTCCGCACTAGCCAAAAGGGGATGTTGTGTAAAGACGTCCAGTGCAATACACTACGAGGGCCATTCAATAGGGCATTCCTGTTACAAAATTCATTCCAGATTTATCATTAGTGGCTGTTTTAGCATCACTTGTGAAGAGTCAGATCAACCAACCACTGATTGGCAGACGTTGGGAAAAATGACCAGTGATAAAAAACCAAGAATGAAAGAGAAAGTTAAGAGGATGATTAGTGATATTACTTCTTGTTCTCCAACCTCAAAAAAATCTCCGTGGAAAACGTCTGGCGATGAAGAGTTGAAGGCGGCAATAAACGCACATTTTGGGAACAGGGAAGAAGAATATTTTCTTGAGGGTTTTGAAAAGTTATTTTTCGTCGAGCAAACAAAGTGCTGTTATACGTATTAGAAGAACTGCGTTGGAAAGAACTCTTTTTTTTCTCAGAAGCTCTGCCTTTTCCATTCACACCTATGTAGTTATACGCAATGAACGCACTCCTCGTCCCGTACCGCTTCAACAAAGTGGAAGTCTTCTAGATGCGATCCACCGTATGGGCGCAAAAGATATTGCTCCACATTTAGAATTATTTATATTATAAGGTTGAGGGGACAGTTTCTATTCTACCTGAAGCACTAACAAATGAACCTGGAAATAAAATGAATAATTCCGAGAAGTTGATCGCTTTCGAGAACGTAGAACGGATGGTTCGCTCAGCAACGGCCAGCCAATTAAGCTGACTGGTCGCTAAAATTGCTGCCACTGAAGGGGAAGGGTTATTGAAGTGGAAACCGTTCGCATTGATCATCTTAGTACTTATGAGTAAGTAACGCTCCTAAGTGAAACCTCAATTGTGTCTGGAAAAATGGCCTAGCTATGTCCGAAAATCTTTTACTAAGCTAATTTCCATTTCCCTCATAGGAGAAGGGTGAAAATCGTGCAGGCGCGAACGATGTGTCATACAATGGAATGAAACCCGTTACTTTTGAGTAGCCGCTTTTCAGCATGGCAATCGAAGTGAACACTCTGAGAGCGGGGTCAAGCGTGATAAGTGAAATGGCGGTGTCAGTGCGACTGACCGTCCCCTTCCCAAAAAACCCTCATCTGGCTAAACCCTATACCATATCCCACTACTCTCGTCCTATGTGTTTCCGCAACCATCTAGCAGTTTTCCTCGAAGCTTCAGATTGTCCTTAAAAAGCACTAGAGGAATAGATCAGATAGAGGTTCTCACCAGTCAGGAGAGAGATTCTTACCAAGCAACTAACATTCACCTATCAGAACTGCATAGTAATCTGGCGGCGTTGGAGGCGCATGCATAAGTGATCTCTGCAAACGAATAGATCGTGTGAAGGGGGGGGAGTCCTAGATCAAGCTTTCCCGCCAGTGGTTGCGGACCCAGAATGGCATCATTGATAGAAAACCGTGGCACTCCAACGCCCGGTCACACGCCCTATCGCTTGCAGGGATCGCGACTGTAGGAACACCGCATGCTGGAAAAATTATTCTTTACCCTCTCAGTAACCTGAAGAAAGAGGCTAAAGAAGAGAGTTTCCAGAGTTGGTAGGCATTTTCGTTTGAGTAGAAGAAGCAGAAAGATTGTGATGAGGACGGAGACAAAGTGCGTGGCGAGTATTCTCGTGTGCGGACAGAAATGGATGAGTCGTTAAAGCATCAGCTATTGCTCCAATTTCAAAGTAAATCGACCGTAAAGAATACGTTATGAGGTACTCAACGATGAAATTGCTGCCTCTTGGGAAATTTTTCGGAAACTTTGCAGAACTGGTGACTTCTGTGCCCTCCCATTATATACGGTGAAAGCAGGGCTACCAAGGTAGTTGATGTAACATAGCTCTGGGATAAGTTCCTAGCCGTTGAGAGTTTTGCCGTTACTGTACACCCATACTTGACTTTTTCGTGTGTAATTACAGAATCTAATCCGCCCTTAACTACGGCTTTTCAGCAACAAGTTGCAGGGATGTTTAGGATTGAAAGACTGAAGTTGAAACCACTGGTTAGAATGTATAATAAAAAGAAAATCGCAGGAAGGACCAGTTGTGAGCCCTCACGTCGTTGACGGGTCCTCTAGCCCTATTATTGGCCCCCTAATAACCGTGTTATCCCAGCGGCTGGTTTCAATTTGTGCGCTTGAATGTGCGCCTGCCATGGTGCGGATGAAAATGACCGCTTTCGTGTTGAAACTGAGACTGTGGTCCACCTTTAGGGGGAGTGGTCGGAACACCAAAACCGCCCCTTTCTATATTGGAATTCACGACCAGAACAGAACTCGGTTCCTCCAACCGCGTGCGACCACCCTTCTTGAATGAAGTCATCCCCACCGAGATAGCTACCTGAGGTCAGTACTTCAGTTTTGATCTGCAAGACCTCCTGCCCCACATTCGAGCAGCTTCGTCAACTTCGCTACGGTCTAGGACATCATCTTCACCGTATTCGCCGAGGCGCGAGTTGATGGTATGGACCGGGGTACCTGGAAAGGGGAAGACCGATATTTTCTTTGTAGACCCCGACTGAAGTGTGCAGCGCTGCGCGTTACATCAAGTAACTCGAGAAGAATATCCTCCCTACATGTGGTCGCCCGTACCTTCTTGATACAAAATGCTGCTACAGGTTTGGGGTGGTCCCAACACGCCACCACATGGAATCAAAGGGTTTTGGAAAAACTCCCGCCTACTTCGAATGGAAGGGCGTTTCGTACCTGAAGAAGATGTAATATTGAAGTATGTCCCCTGACCTGAACCCACTCAATTACCTAGTTCGGGCGGACTTCAAGAGGGTGGTCTACGGTGGCGGAGAAATCGACTACCCCGCTGATCTCAGGTACCACATCGCGGTCGCGTGCCAGAATCTCTCGATGGCGTTCGTCCAGAAGGCTGTGGCGGAGTGTCGTGATAGTACTTAATGTGCTCTTCAATATGGTAGTAAAAATGTCCGATCAGAATTTGATAAAGTGTAATTTATAGCGCCTCGAAAGTCAATGAGGCAAAGTGACTTTTTTTTGCCCCCCCCCCCCTGTATATTGGGGGTATATGGTGGAAGAACGGAAGCTGAGACGTCAAAAATCTATCCGAAAATAAGAGGCGCTTCCGTTCTCAGCTGTGTTAGTGATCAACTTTTGGGGCGAGTTTCTCCAGCAATCTTACAATAACCGTACGCGCGGAGTGGTACGGCTGGCATATGTGTACTCATATATCCGGCCTCCTAGCGACCGCTCTCCAATGCCTTCGCTTCATACTTTGCCTTGCCAATATGAACCAATTAGAGCGTCGAACAGTCGTTCTCATTTGTGGGCGGGCGGGCAAGGGGGCGTTTGGGACGTAAAGTTGTGGCTTGATAGCGCCCTTATAAGGGCTTCTCCCCTGGAAAAGGCATTATGCAGCGCCTACTCGGCGGAATTCTGCCAGCCGTACTAGTCCCTGCTCGTCTTGGAGGGATTTTATATGGTGCCACTGCCTTAATGGCTTTATCTTACGATACCTAACTACTAAAATTTCGTGCCGCCCTATTAATTTGCCAAATCATATTTTTCAGCAGATAGTGTTGTAATGGGAGAAACAAAGAAAGATGAACTGTCGTGGGTTGTCGAACCAAGGCAGGAGCCCGGCAGCGTTCTCTATAAGGTATATTTCTAATTATTCCCCTAGTTATGTTTCTTTCTACCTTTACTCTTTTTCTTTCCTGATTTCACACTATCTTTCTGGCTGCACACTGTCTTCCATTTATGGTTGGATTCCCTTCACGGAACAAATTCTCAGCAGGAAGCTCATGGTCGCAGCGCAGGCAGTACGAGCAATTATAATCCCCGTCCGCTTTTTTACTGTTCTTACACGAAGGTGCTCTCGATCTGAAAGTGGTGACATTATTCCTGCCAGGAAGAATCTTGTGAAGGGAGGATGAACTGAATTGTCAGTCAGGCAGCGGGAGAAAAGCGCTGCCCTGCTGCGCTCCTACTTGAACACTTTGGCACCTGGGGGCCTTTCTCAACCGCCGCGTCTCCTTTGCAATGACTCTATCAGTGGTCTAATGTGAAGTGCCAGTTTACGGACCTCATGTTCTGAGCGTCTGCACTCACCCGCAATATGGTAAGCTCGGCCCTGTTTATCGAGCGGGGGAAGGCATTCCGCTTTCCATAGATTTACAACCATCTAAGGCACCGCTTTTTGCGAGTTGAAAGTGCTTTAGGATGGGCCAGACGATCCTGCTTCAGGTTCACAAGCGGTTCACAGCAAGTTTTACCCGAGGAAAATTTGTAAACCGGAAACCAGAACCAGGGAAGCAATTATAATACAAAATTGTCCCCCCCCCGTCGATAAACAGCGCCTGGTAGCTCTCATCCTCCGGTCAAGGATCATGTAATCCAAGCGTAATCTGCATCAATGTTGGAGTACACCTTGCTCATCGCGAGCGCCAAGGGAGCGCCTTCAGAGCTGCTGGACTAGCTGCTTACTTTCACTCCGAGTCGAAACCGTTCTTTACTTCCATTTGTGCTTGTGTCGGAGCTTCTTTCACACTGTTCTGTCACATGCTTCGTTTTTTCTTTGGTCCGCTCACCTTCTTCACGGTAGTATTTCAGATATCCCTCTACAAAGACAAACTCTTCGTCGGAGATGCTCATACGGCCGTCACTACCCTCACCAAGATGACATTGCCCTCAGAGCTGCTGCAGTCATGGTCGTCAGCTCAGCGTTTCGATGTCAGCATTGCCGGTTCGCTTTCTTTTCGCTTTTACAGAACTCAGCTCGTTAGTATCGGGATAGAATTCATAGCCACCAGACAGTACCCTCAATTCTAATGAATAATTTCCGTCCCTCTTAGAAAATAGACGCGCGCCTTCAATTTTTTTCACTTTTCTCCCGAGATTTCTTCTGAATACTTTTGAAATTTTGTTTGTTTTCTTTTCACTTCAGTCCCTGTGGTTTATCGTCTTTTTTAGCAAACATTGAGGCGCCCTTACTGTACGCACAATAGAAATGCCGAGGCTGTATCTTCAGAATGGACCAACGAGGCGCAGTGACATAGTAGACCCTGGTCGCTAATTGGGAGACCAAATTGTTCAGCTCAGACATGTGTTCTATTCGTCCTGGTTTAGTTAGTTGTTATGTATTATAGGAACATGTCCTGAGATGGAGCTAGAGTATTGCCTCAAACATCGTCCTGCCTCTGCAAGTTGTTCTAAAAGCCAGAATTCTGCTGATAGGATTGTGGTCCGGCAGCCAGCAAGGTGCTGCGGTATCCAAATGACCAGAAACTCTAAATTTTCCATTCGATCATGACATATCCTGAGACTGGCATGTAATCTCCTCCCCACTCTGTGCCAACTAGTACATGTTACAAAGTGAAATGTCAGGAACTTCGATTTTCGGATACCGCTTACATGAGCGTCAGCTATAAAAAGCTGCGACCGCCCACTCAGAAGCGCTCGAAACTTTGCTGTCCTGTTTTTTTTTCGCATGACATACATCTAATATTTTTCAGGAATCACAACATGGATGTCGTTCAATGCAAGCAAGATTGGGTTGCAGGCACCGTTGAAACCTCCCACTGCTCCAACAAACGTACGCCTCTATGCGACTCAACAGGTGAGATTCCTTTCGGAATATTTCTTCAGCAGAAGTAATGTGGAACTACGGAAGAAATTGCAATGTAGCAGCTATTGAGATGGATGGGCTTCTAGAGACAAAAGTGTAGACGGTGCTGATCCCTTCTGGTGGAATCTTCAAGCGTAAATCCCAATAAGCTCGATTGCGCGTTTGTTTCTCGTTATAAGCTCGCACTAACCAGATGAGTTCAGACATCTAGTCCCTTCCAGCTACCTTCAGAGAGGGAAATGGTTAGCAAGCCTGGATGGGTGCTTGTCGAGAGATCCGACAGGCAGACTACAGCTTCACCCTCGCGACATCCCCATCTAATTGAGGGAGTTTACTGTCGCACTTTCGCGTACACTACACATCCCGGAGATGGGAGCTGCTTCGTACTTCTTTTAAACATGACGTATGATGGTTATTCATGGGATGTTTTGAGGCAAGTGTTATCTTGACATGTGTTGGACAAAGAGATGAGAACAATGGTCCCAAAATGGAAATATTTCACCGAGAGTACAGCCGCCGTCATGTTCAAGTGAATTATGCAGCCACGCTTACCGCATCTCAGGAATTTATAGCATAGAAGTCGGAGTTTTTATACCTCAAAAGAATCTGACTCTAATTTATCGTCGATTGGGCGAGACCCGGTCCGGGGTCTGACATCCAAACCGGGCGCGTAGTGGGCTGCTTGCCACCACACTGCCTCATCCTCACTCACCCATCTACTTCTTTACAATCACTAATCTGAGCGGAACATTACAGAGAGTTCAGAAGCGCCCACAAAATTTCCGTACCTCCGAAAAGCGGCTACTAACACATCTTTTGCCATTATGTTTTACGCTTTTGCAATCTTTCCTTACCTGACAACTTTCCAGAAAACCGTCGATGGTGCTCGAGCGATCATATCCCTTTTTTGGTCACCTCCACTTCAATGGAATGCTACTCCTTTTCAGTACATAATTAACTGCACAAAGGTCAGACTAATGATACCACCTCCATGTAATCTTAATCGTCAGAGGCATAAGCGATTTTTTTAGGATGATGGTACCACTCAAGGTGGCCCGGTAGGAAGTACCACAACACACATATCCTTTGAAGTGAAAAGTGGCAAGGTATTTATTTGTTCTCTCGGATATGCATTTTTCGAACTTGTAGGAAATCTTCATAAATTTGAAGGTCGAATGTTCCGTGGCAGCCGCCAACGAACCGAATAACATTGGCGAATTCACTCCGAAAATCTCGATAGACAGCAGTGGTAAGCGTCTGATGACCCCTGATAAACAGATGACTCTCCTAACAGACAACTCTTTTCGTTATTTTGCTTCCGTTTCCTTTATTTCGTCTCATATGTTTCCAGAGCTGAAGCCTTTGGTGCGACTATTCGCGATAGATTCCACTAATGCCCTCATAGCCATTACTAATGTTACCCAAGATGAACCGGCGTCGAAACGAGAGAAACGTCAGATCTCGCACGTAAATCGAGTGGTAAGTATTTACTAAGATACTCAATGAACTGAGTCAGGCACTAGTAATTCTAGGAATGTTTGAAGGCCACTTGTACAAGTTTGGGTCATTGCAACGGATATGAAGGCTTTTGTGTCTATGCTGTAACGCCACGACGAAGCGTTTACTGCTCTGTAAGCGCCGTAAGGCGCTAACCACAAATGCAACCAGACACATCATTATTGGAAAAATTCGCGTCGAATCCGTGCGTTATCCCCCCCCGCCTTCCCCATCCTACCTACCACTTTCTTAGATTTTTCCAACTTTCTACCAGTCTTTTTCCGGATTTTCCCAAAAATTTCCAGTTTTTTTTTTTCCAGAAAATGTGCGCAAAGTGGCTGTCGGGCGAGGATATATAGCACACGTGAAACAGGAAAAAGCATTAAAAGTCAACAACCTCTCTCAGAAGACCAGAGGGAAAATACGACCACCCCCCTCTCCCAACAACGAGCAAATGCGAACTCCCCCTCCCCCTCATAGTGTCCCTGAAACAAGAAAAATCAACTGTCAAACAAAACTTTCTCTCGGACCAAATACGACCCTTCCCCCCAGCGACCAAATGCGACCCTCCTATAGGGGAATCCCCAAGGATGATGTTCCTTGACTGCAACGGCCCTCCAAGGCCAGACTGGAACGATCTGCGCTAGCCACTACTTCTTCGAGAGAATACAGGAGAATGGGAAGGTACGTGCTGCCTGACTACATTGTCTGCTATCGATCGGCGGTGGTCGCCAGTGTTTCGAGAGAGTATGGAAGAACGGGAGGGTACCAAACGGTGAAGGCAGCTCCTACACTGCTATTATTTTGTACTCTCTCAAAACACAAGCGTCCGGCACTGATCGATACCCGTCTGCCGCTGTATTCTCGTCCATAGTAGGGAGCGCCATTGCCCCACTGGGAACGGTAGCGCGTCGAAGCGCGTCATGGTGAACTCTGAACCTCAAGGGTAGGGGGAAGGAGTTCCAGGAAAGGGTAACCAATTCTAAGCACAGTGGTCCCATCCTTATCACTTTTGCAAAACGAGTCGTTTACTTACCCAAAAATCATTGCGCTCAAAATTTGTCAAAAATAGTTGCAAAATTGGGGCGCAGGTTCAGCACAAGTCCCTTGCCTGTTAAGACTCGGAAGACGCCATGTTCAGCTAACACGTTGAACCCTTGTTGACGAGGAAATTTTTATCATATATGTATCTTCGTCGATGACGCCTTAAAACACGTCATTAATCTGTTACGTGACGTCATCTATCTCCTAATAATTAAAATACTAGGCCGTTTAACCTTCTCCACATCACCCCCACATTCTTATTAACAACCTCCTCAACCTTCCTTTTTTACTCGAAGTCGTCCAACTTTTTGTGCATTCAGATGGAATACCAGGCGATCGCTTTCATCGGCAACGACTTGTTTGCTGTTCGAAAGGAACACGATTCTCTCCAGCCAGTACTTGTTCAGATCGACACCAACGACATCGACAATATCGTTCACAAGGTAAGGACAGCGAAATAAAACCTGGAAATGCTCCATACAAGCGGCTTTCGTTCAAAACCTTCCTAGCACTCAGGGTTGACTAAATGAATGGTTCGTCTGAGAACGCAAGGAGAAAAACCATCTGGTTTACTTTTTTATTTTTTTGGACTATTGTTTCTCTA